TATGAGGCAGGTACTATTATTATCCTCACTTTACAGATGAAGGATCTGAGGTGCAGAGAAGTTAATTTGCTCAAGTTTCAGTTATTAAATGGAGAGTCAAACTAGATAGTTTAATTCTAAGACCCAGGTCACTAGCCACTAAAAAACTGTTACTATCTTTAATCAGATCATGTGCAAGCAGTCTTACCTAAAAGAAGCTCTTAGCATTCCTTAAAATTAAGCTAAGGAATCAAAATCACCTTGACTCTGCCAGTCTCAAACATAAATTTCCTGAGTGTATTTTGGGGTCATGGACTAAGTAGGCACAAGGACAGCATCTGGGAAAGGTTTGGTTGGTAGGATAGGCCCATCAACAAAACATCTTTGGAGAAGTTCTTTGCCATCTTCGAGGCTCCTGGCTCAAATGATTCCATAGGGGGTTGACTAAAGCTTTCTCTGTGGAAGTCTATCCTAAGAAATGCTTCACTTTGTGGGAAAACCTGGATGAAAACTCACCTCGATGGCTTCTCTACATGAATGGGTTCTGTATTGCCATTCATGCTTTGTGAAAAATTTTTCTTGATGTTTTCAGAACGCTGCTTTTCAGTGATTACAGCTAATTTATCTGCTTTCTCCTAGGGCCACAATTACCTAAAGGTAGTGAAAGGGAACAGAAAGAGGAAAGGGAGCATACTTTGATAATGCTGTCCTCTCTCACTGTATTTCTGAGCATCTGCAGTCTTGGATTTTGCCTTTAACTTGCAGCTTTCCAAATTCTGCCACAATTCAAAGTATGTCTCATAGGGAAGCCTTTGAAGTTTCACCCTCCCCTCCAACTTTCCTCCTAGCAGAGAGGTTAAGGAAAACTAAGTCAATCAGTGTGGAAATGCTTCCCTTCCAATTCAATTGCAGCTGTGTTACATCCAGATGTCTGACTCAAGAAGGAACCAGGTAAGCTACCGGCACCCAAATGCTCAGGTCTCAACTGATGAAACTCCAAGACCAGAAATGCCTGACTCTCATTCTAAGAAAGGCTCTCTAAAGGTACATGGAGAAGCAGTTTTGTGCTTTCTGAAAATAGAATCTGGGGGTTATGAACAAGGATAAAATTTTGCCACCGTCCCAAGAGCCCCTGAATAGCTACCTGGGTAACGTCTGATCCTGCTCTGCCCAACTCTCCAAGAAAATGGGGTTAATACCTCCCCAGATGGCTACAGGGAGGATTAAGGGTTATTATTCTTGGCATCCAGCTCTATCACAGCTCTAGCAATTGTGACCTTGTTCATTCTAAAATAAGACATTAAATATAAAAATGCAAACAATGATCCCTGAATCTGACTCTATAATAGGGTGAGGACTTTTTTTCCACAAGGCCTCTGACACTGCCTCCTATACTCCAACCTACTGGCTGAACCCTCCTCTTATTCAGGCCTCAAGTTTGTAAGGTATTAGTCACTAATGCCACAAAGCCCTTCAAGGAGTTGGCAGCTATTACAAATAGTACAAAGAATGAACCCCAGAATTATCAGGGTGTGTCAGGCCTGAATTCACCCTAAAGAAACAAAGCGGTACCCCTTTACCCCAAACCTGGGCTCTCAAGGGCAACCAGTGAGGTCTAGTGAGAACTGTATATTACATCATGTAGTACTCATAAACCCACTGTAAGGAAGGTACTATCAAAAATGTCATTTCACACATGAGGAAATATAGTTTAGAGAGGACACACAATTTACCCTACGTTACACAGCTAAGAAGGTACAGACAAAGGTTCAAATATCAGTCCTACTACTAGCTGTGTAAACTACAGGTTAGTTTTTTTTTTTTTTTAACTTTCTGGAGCCTCAGTTTCCTCATTTGTAAAGTGGGGATAATGAGGGATGCCTGGGTGGCTCAGCCGGCTAAGTGTCTGCCTTTGGCTCAGGTCATGATCCCAGGGTCCTGGAATCAAGTCCCACATTGGGCTCCTTGCTCAGTGGGGAGCCTGCTTCTCCCTCTGCCTACTGCCCCCCCTGCTTGTGCTCTCTCTCTGACAAATAAATAAGTACATACATAAAGTGCGGATAATGATAATTCCTACCTCATAGGGGAATCTAAGGATTAAATGAAATATTGTAGGAAAAGTGTCTAACAAGTGCCTGGCACACAGTAAATATGCAATATGGGTTAGTTTTTCACGACAGGAGTTTGACATCATTTCCATATAATAATAGGGCTTAAAATACTGAAAGACTACTTAGTCCAATTACCTACATTAAGTATGAACTCCTCTACCAAATCCTTGATAAGAAGTGGCAAAGCCTCTGCTTGAATACACTCATTCCCTCACAAGGTGGCCCATTTTGCTTTTAGAAAGCCAAATTCTCAAAACAAAAAAAAAAGAAAGAAAGAAAGCCAAATTCTCTCCTACCAAGCCAACGTCTCCCGTCTTGAAATTTCCATCCCTTGATCCTAGTGCTGCTTTCCAGAATCACAGAGAGAAAGTCCAGTTCCCTTTCTACATGACAGTTCTTCAAGTACTTGAAGGCAGGTATCGTGTTCCCCCAGGCTCTTAGCTTTGGTCCTTTCAACTCTTCATGTATCACAGCCCCAAAGGAGACAGGCCCTAGTTGGAATTCTAAACCTTTCCCATATTTGCAGTGTGACCTTAAGCAAGTTATTTAACCTCTCTGTGCTCATATCTTCATATGTATAATAGGGAAAATGATTTTTGCCTCACAGAGCAGTTATGAGTGCTAAATTAGATAAAGTAAAATACTAGCTAGTACACAGCCCAATAGATACCAGGCCCTCAATAAATGTCAGTCACTTTTTAGAATGTATTCTAATTAGTAAATATCTCTCAAAGTTAGCCAAAGTTAGTTTCTGATGGAACTTGCCAAGGGTTGTGCTTTTGAAGCCAAGGAGTTATGTGAGTCTCTCTGCAATGGCAGCCCAAAGATGAAGTGGAATCCAGAAAGGTAAGGATGAAAGAAGAAAGGAATCAGGATCATTCAATCAGTGACCCAAAAGAAAGGGAAGTATCACCATATTACACGTTGTTTATGATCCCTTCTTTGAGACCCACGACTGCACATGTGGGCCACATTCCTTAATTCAAAAAGGAGAGAAGAAAATATTTAGAAAATAATTTAAAAATTATTGAAGTCATAGTTCTGGGTCTTTGCAGCAGTTGGCCCCTCAAAGTCCAAAGATATTTAGCAGAGGGCTTTAAGATTTTCAGTTGTATCCTTCCAGGTCCTGAAGTCTAGGTATGTGAAAAAAACCCTAATATGATGTCCCATGAGTCACTGCTGAGTTCCTTCCAGCTAGAAAATTTGTCAGCTGCATGACAACTCTAAAATCCCCAAGTGGCAAATCGCCAATGTTAATACCATCACCATAATCATTACACGTATTCTCTTTCAGTAACTGCAAGGGAAGGAGTCTCAGGCAGAAATATGAATTGTTGTTCTATTATTCTTCAGAGTTGACCCAAAGCACTGCTTCTACAAATTGACAGGTGGCTTGAACATAAGTGCCCCCAAATAGGTCAAAATACCCCAGTATTAAAGCAGCAGGAACACAAACTATGGCAGAAAAGGTTTTTCCATCTGCCAATGAAACACAACAACCTGCAATGAAGATCCATTGTTAAGTCTCAAGAGTCAGCCCAAACGAGCCTTTCTAGTTACTCCCTGGTCTGTGCTAGAGGATCCAGTTATTATACTCAGCAGACAAGTTTCAATTCCATCCAGAAATAGCCTTAAGTGGTTCCTTCATTTAGTGAAGACACTAGCCACTCAGGAGGGACTGTAAGGTACAGAAAAGCTTCGTTCAGACCACTGGGCATACCTGTGCCCTAGGCAGAGATTTCATAGTGTCTTTGAGTCTGGTGGTGTCTGAATAGTTTCTTCTCAAAACTGTTTAAGACTTTGTTAAAAGGGAACGCTTAACTGCCACTTTACCCTGATCATCTACCCCATCCTTGGGAAGAATGGGGAAGTAATAGACACCCTATCAGGTTTCTAAACTCAAACTTAAGAGGAAAACTTTAAAGTTGCTCTACCACTACCTCAGAAGTTTTTTTTTAAAGTCACAGAAGAAAAGGACTTTGAGGAAAATAGTCAAATTAGGCAGTTAGACTTTAGTCATTAAGTCCTGCTACCTCTTTTCTAGAGACCCTGGTGGTACACCTACAGAGGAGAGTCAGAGGTCACTAAGCAAATTCAATCTGGCTGGCAAGGGGGCGTCCCACTGCAGCTTTCTGCAGCTTTCAGTGACAAGAATTGGATCCTGCTGGTCACAGTCTCTCTTCTATTCGACACTTCCTATTTCCCGTTGAAGTGGGTCCTGAACAGCCCGTTCCCAAGTAAAGGCCCTCTGTAAGGGCGTTACAGTCGCATGATGGAAACACCTTAGCAGAGTTGAGCTTGGTGCCAGGATGGGCCACTGAAGGCATCTGCGGCTGCAAGAAGCCTGGCCACGGAGGGACGGACACACACACACGCACACACACAAACACACACACACTCTCTCTCTCTCTCACAGAGAAAGAGAGCGGGAGAGCGAGCGAGAGAGAGAGCGCGAGAGCGAGCGCGAGCGAGACAGAGCGAGAGCAGGAGAGCAGGAAACTAAGAGAGCAGGTCAGGTCAACGTAGCCCTCCCGGCATTTCCACCTGCCCCCTTCTTCCTGACACCGGCGCCAGATCAGATGTCAAACAAAAACTCCGCAAAAAAGTCCCGTGATGGGACGACTTCCACCTCTCCCTCGGCAAAGCCTCCCTGGACTCCCAGAGCCTCCCCCACCACCCAGGTCCCGGCCAGCCCTCCATCCCCACCCCGCCCCCGGCCCACTCTGCCCCTCGCCCCAGCGAGGCCTGTCCCCTCTCGGGACACCTCGGAGCCCCGAGGCTGGCGGCCTCAGGCCCCCCGGGCCGGCAGGGCTGCGGCTGGCCCAGAGCGGGCGGCCCGTGTGCGGGGACTGCGGGAACCGGTTCTCGCTTCGGCGCCCGGCGAGGGCAGGGGGCGGTGGCTACCAGTACCTGTCAGGCCTCTTCCCAGGACCAGCGGCGGCGCAACTTCAGGAGCCCATGTCCGTCCAGGGGGCCCGGCCCCTCTCCCGGGAGGGGGGGGGCGCGGATCCCGGGGAGGGGGCTGGGGGGCCCGGGCAGCTCTAGCCCCTTCCCATGCTCCCCGCCCGGCGCCTGGCCGGGGCCGGACAGCGCCTCCGCCCGCCCCTGCGCACCGCCTCACACCCGCGCTCACACACACTCACACTCCCTCGCGCGCTCTCACACACGCACTCCCCTCCCTCCTCCTCCTCTGTTTATCTCCTCCAGCTGTCTGGGGACCCAGGAGAAGCCCAGCACCGCGCCTGCGCCACGCAGTCTCCGCCCCCGCCCCGCGCCTCACAGCCGGCGGCTACGCTACGGAGAGAGCGTCCGGCGGTTTCCAGAATGGCTAGCCGGGCCCCTCCCCCGCCCCGCGCGCCCGGTCAACGTCTGCTGCCGGCGGTGCCTACTAACCTGCTAGTGGGGGAGCCCCCGCACCGCCGCAACCAATCCGCTCCTGCGCTCGTCGGACCTGCAGCCAGTGGGCAGGCGGGAAAGCCGGGCTAAGCCCCGGGGCATCCTGGGAATCGTAGTTTTTCCCCGTGGAAGAGCTCCTGCCCAGCGGGCTCACCCCGCCCAGTTGCCATTAGTTACCCTGACGCACCTCCCACCCCACATCCAAGGAAAATGCTCCCTCACGTTGCTTCTGGGGCACCCCTAACACTCACCCGTTGCCCCTCAGAGCCCGACACAAGTCTCCTAAGAGCCTCACCAAGACTTCCTCAGATCCCCTGAATTGGGAGACTTAGGCTGGGGCCCCAATGCCCCCCTCCCATCCCCTAGGGCCGAGCTTCGTCTTACTCTTTCCTGCCCTGGGGTTGTTGCTGAGTGGCACATTCCTCACTCTTGCTCCTGGGCCTGAAGAGGATAAAAGGTAATCAGTCCTACAACCGAGTGGCTTGGAGGGGAGCCAATCACACACTATGGAAACCCTCAGGCTGACCGAAAGAGAGAGAGAGACGAGGTCCTTCTAAGATTAACTGGTGGAGACTAACACCACTGATCCCCCCCTTCTAAGGAAGCTGCAGTTCCAGCCTAGTGGAGTGCCAAGTCTGACTGAGGAGACACCGTCCTCTCTAAGGAAGTTCCCAAGGTGACAAGGGAGGCATCATGCCTAACTTGGGAAGGCAGAGACCAGGCCCCACCCATGAGGCGCCTCAGGTCAGAAAAAGAAATTGTCATCATCTTTTGAGAATGGAAACTTGTCACTCACCCATAGGGTGGGTGTCATTTGTCAGATAATAATAATTCGCTTTTATTTAGTATTTACTATGTCACCACTGTATTGAGTACAATTTCTTAGATACTCTTACTGTGTTTCACGGAAAAGAAAGCTGAGGCACAAAGAGATTAAAACCAACTTGCCCCGGGTCACATAGCTGACAAGGAACCAAACTGGGATTCAAACCTAGATCTGCATTACTACAGAGTCTGAGCTTTTGGACACTGCCTGTCCCTCCCGTGAGAACCAGGCGGTGCCTACATACATGTCTAGCATCCATAGTGTTTGTTCCATGTTTGTCACTCCATGAGTTGCTTTTTTCCTGCTTCTGCTCACATCAAGTGTATAAATTAGTCTGTGAGCTCCCAAAGGGTGATTTCATCCCATTTGGAGGAGTTAGAACCTACTTGTGAATTCAGCTTTGTGAAATGCTTTTCTCCTATAAATGTGGGTCATTCTTCCTGATCTCTCCCCCACAGATGTTCACTGAATATAAAATATCATAAACATTGGGACTAGAAGAAAGCTGAGATTATCTATCCATAGCTTTCCAAGCTCAGGCTGAAACCCTGGCTAGGGTCACTGGTTCAATTAAATTGAAAAATAACTAACATGGGGCACCTGCATGGTTCAGTCTGTTAAGCATCTGCCCAGCGTCAAGCTCCCGGCTGTGCAGGGAGCCTGCTTCTCCCTCTCCAGCTCCACCACCCCCAGCCCCGCTTGTGTTCCCTCTCTCGCTGTCTCTGTCAAATAAATAAGTAAAATCTTAAAAAAAAAAAGAAAAGAAAAAAGAAAAATAACATATATGGTGCGTTTACCATGAGAGGTAAGTTCTTATCAGTGAATTAAACAATCCTCACAAATCGCATAGTTAGGAAGTGGCACAGCTGGGATTCAAACCCGGATTATTTGAATCCAGAATTCCCATTTTAAGCCCTTGCTCTATGCTGGCAATGTCACAGAGGCTCTTAAGAAATACCAACAGGGAAGTGTGGGTGATATGTCTGTGGCTCCTAGCAGTCTTTGACACATAGTAGACAGTAAGTAAGTGTTGGCAGAATGAACTTTTGTTGGTAAGGAATGGATGATAGTGATGTGGTTTTGGAACATAGGTGAGGTTTGGTGGGGTGAGGTCCGGAGCCCAGACCAAGAAAGAACTCTTGAGACGTCTTTGGTGCAAAGTGGTGGTTTTATTAAAGCATAGGGAGAGGGCCTCTGGGCAGAAAGAGCTACTACACAGGGGTAGTGAGGAGTGGCTGATTATATACTTGGGAGTTGGGGGAAGTAAGGAAAAAGGAGGTTCCAAAAGAACTTTCATATGCTAAAGAGGACGGACCTACAAGATACCTACAAGATACCCCAGGCCTTGCCATTGTCAAGTTAAGGTTGTTTTCCCCTCTAGCTAGTTATTGACATTAAGATAGTTGAGAGATTTCTGGAAGAAAGTCATACCTGTCCCGCCCAGGAGTAGGGAGTGGGGGGAGGTTGCAGGGTGTCAGCTTACGCTTTGTTTTCAGCTAACATCTGCTCCCTCATCAATAAGATGAAGAATATTAATAATAGCTGAGGGGCACCTGGGTGGCTCAGTTGGTTAAGGATCTGACTTCGGCTCAGGTCATGATCTTGGGGTTCTGGGATTGAGCCCCACGTCGAGCTCCACATCAGGCTCTGCTTGTCCTTGTCCTTCTCCCTCTGACCACCCCCCCCATTCATTAAATAATAGCTGCAGCTAAAATTAATTGATTATTTTCTTAAATAAAATAAAATAGGGTGCCTGGGTGGCTCAGTCGTTAAGCGTCTGCCTCCGGCTCAGGTCATGGTCCCAGGGTCCTGGGATCGAGTCCCACATCAGGCTCCCCGCTCAGCGGGAAGCCTGCTTCTCCCTCTCCCACTCCCCCTGCTAGTGTTCCCTCTCTCGTGTGTCTCTCTGTCAAATAAATAAATAAAAATAAATAAATAAAATGAAAATAATTGATTATTTATTATCTACCAGGAGCTCACTTGCCCTCCCATGCACTCTCTTTTCTACATATATGAATATATATGCATATGTGCTATATGAGTATATTGCATATGTATACATGTATATACATATACATTGTGTATATGTGCATACATTTATCTATGTACACGCACACATACGTTCACACACACACTAACTCATTTGATTCCCATAACCACCTTATGAATTAGGTTTTATTCTTACTCCCATTTTTACATAGAAAAAACAGGCTCACGTGAGAGTTAAGTTCAGAATCAGGCGCCCCTCCCATCCAGAGATGTTTTTAGATAATTTAAGAGAAAACTTTCTAACTTATAGAACTGGGCTGATTTGGGAGGTTGTAAACTCTGTTTTTGGTAGTATTCAAGGATAGGATGTATAATTATCTGTCCAGGATACGGTAGAAGCAATCATTTTGTTGGGTCGATATTTAAGTCACTAATTCCAATATTCTCTTGTTTGGCTTTTGGAAGAAGACAAAGATTGTTCAAATAAGGCTTGTGACAATGAATGTAGCTCCTTTTTCTCCCCTAAGTGCACTAGATAATGCCCCAGCTGATCAGCTCTGCAGAGCTAATCACTGATACAACCATTTTCATCTCTGGATTGGACTCCTGGGCAAAAGGAGGGATATGCAACCTAAAATTGAAGATGCCCTTGTTCTACAACCTAGAAATTTTACTTCTAATACTTTAGAGGAACTGTTACATGTGTACAAGTAGACATGGGCAAGGAACACTACTTCCAGCCCTGTTGTAATAGCAAAAAAAAAAAAGTCAAAACAACCTAATTGTCCTTCTGGAGGCGAAAGGATGAATGAATTATCGTTTGTTCATACAGTGAAGTACTACACAACCAATTAATTTATTTACATGTTATCAAGATAGATAAATCTTTACAACATAATAATGAATGGAAAAAAGGAAGTTGAAAGATGATGCATTCAGTATGATATTTATGTAAAATTTAACACAAAAATATCACATATTATAGATACATATGTGGTAAAAGTACACAAATTGAAATGGGAAAGACACGCAGCAATTTTGGGAGAATGGTTGCCACTGAGAAAAAGGAAGAAAGAAGAGATGAGGGATGATGTTTTAGCTATATTTGTAACATTTTATTTTTTTAATTTTTAATTTTTATTTTTTTAAAAGATTTTATTTATTTGACAGAGGCACAGCGAGAGAGAGGGAACACAAGCAGGGGGAGTGGGAGAGGGAGAAGCAGGCTCCCCGCGGAGCAGGGAGCCTGATGCGGGGCTTGATCCCAGGACCCTGGGACCAGGACCTGAGCTGAAGGCAGACGCTTAACGACTGAGCCCTATTTGTAACATTTTATATCTTAAAAGATCAGAAGCAAATATAGCAAAATATTCAAATATTAAATTTTTATCTTGGGGGGTTATATTATTAACTATTTTCTGAAAGTTTGCAATAGTTTATAATTGCTTGTTAAATATTTATTTTATTTTTTTATTTTTAAAGATTTTATTTATTTATTTGACAGAGACACAGCGAGAGAGGGAACACAAGCAGGGGGAGTGGGAGAGGGAGAAACAGGGTCCCTGGATGCCAGGCTCTATCCTGGGACTCCGGATCATGACCTGAGCCGAAGGCAGACGCTTAACGACTGAGCCACCCAGACGGTCCTATTTGTTAAAATTTTTAAAATTAAATAAGGGGCAAAAAATCCATCTTGACACAGGCACCAGCCTAAAGGTCTAGTAAAAAGAAAAAAGTTAGGGCGCCTGGGTGGCTCAGTTGGTTAAGCGACTGCCTTCAGCTCAGGTCATGATCCTGGAGTCCGGGGATCGAGTCCCGCATTGGGCTCCCTGCTCAGCGAGGAGCCTGCTTCTCCCTCTGACCCTCCCCCCTCTCATGTACTCTCTCTCATTCTTGCTCTCTCAAATAAATAAATAAATCTTTAAAAAAAAAGAAAAGAAAGAAAAAAGTTAAAAGTCTGTATCTGTACTCTGGTAATTATTATTATACAAGAATCTCATTGTTTA